TAATCAACTTTACGTCGTTGTGGCTCTTGTGGTAAAACTGGTCATAATATACGAACTTGTCAGGAGGATTTAGAAGACTCTAGTTTATCAGATTCTGAATAGTTTCAATTAATTTTATATGTTGTGATTATTAAATAATATTTTGAAATGATTGAGTAGTGAAAAAGTGCGCGAGGCACTGATATGCGCGACGCACTGATAAACCACGTTAAGTGATTCGTTAGTTTCATTAATAAATAACTGAATTAATAGATCTGGGTTTAGTATATCAGATTGATTGGAAAATATATCAATAATGAAGGGAGTTTTATAGAAAATAATGTGAATATAAGTTTTAAAGTTATTAGGTATTTTGATATCTGTAATAATAGATATACTTATACCAATAACATCTATTAGAATAATCTATAGATCTTTAATAGTAATTATTATAAAATAAAAACAAAGTTCAAAGTTTTCAAATCGTATTTTATAATATCAAGATATTTGTAATATCAATATTTTTGTAAAATTAAATTGTTTAAATTCATTTTTCATCAAATGATCAATTATATTATATAATTGTTGGAAGTGTAACTGTATATTATATTGTATATACTCTACATTACAGTTGTAATGATAAGCTAGCTAGTGTATGCGCTAAGGCTAGCATCAGTACTAGCCAAAGGCACAATGCTAGGGTACCAGTATGTGATATATGGTACAGTAGTATGCGTTCTAACAATATTAAATAATAACTCTGCAGATTTGTAAAATAAAAGAATCAAGGTTAGACTGATCAGTAGTGGAATCTTTTGAAGAGTCGAATATATTATTATGGGGTTGGTACAGATTCTAGTAGGTATTAGGTAAGATGTATGATATTCGATGAGGAGAGAAGAAGGCGTGCGGAGCGACGACGACACTATATGGTGGATGGATGCCTAAGGTATCCATCCGAGCTAGCTAGGAACGGGTAGTGAACCCGTGACACTGGGGGTCTCAATAGTCCCGCCCAGTACGAATAATCATTATAGTTATGGTGATGTGTTTTTAGAGAATGGAGGAAAAGCTCAATTCTATGGGGAAGTATGGAGATGAGGTAATTGCAGGGGAAAGAGGTGATGGTGCCGGTGGAATTGCCAGCGAGAAAACCGGTGGGGTGTGAAATATTGATGTCTGTTGGGAAAAGCTTTAGGAGGAAGAGGGAGAAAAGTTATGTTATGTTTCGCTTAATTCACCGCTAAATTCGCGAGGAGGGTGGGTATTAGGCGAATGAAATGAAGAGATTGGGGGGGAAATAGATGTAGGAACGATGAATATACCGCGAATAATCTTGCAGGAAGAAGTTAATAGAGAGGAAATAGTGGAAGGGGAAGAAGAAAAGGAAGAGAGAGTAGTGGAGGAAATAGAATGGCCATTACCAATGAGTCCGCTACAGGAACTATTTAACAAACCCGCCTCCCGCCTCCTTTACTCACTACCTCCATCAATCCCATCCTTCCTCCACCCATCCCAACTCACCTCATCCATCCCTTCAAAAAACTGCGACAACAACACATTAAGTATCTTGCTCTTCTCAAGCTGAATCCAATGTCCACAATCCCACTGAACAGACTTCAAATTGGCAATGTAGGGTTTCATGAGAGAAGGAAAGTCGGCGCCGGTACTGATGAAGTTTGTGGAAGTTATGAGGAGGGTGGAGTGTGAGAGGTGGGTGCGGGAGGGGGGGATTGCTGGAGGGAGGAGTTAGTGAGGTGGGGTGGGTAAATAAGGGATGGGAAAGGGGAGGAAGAGGGGAGAGGGGGGAGAGAAGGAGGGAGAGGAGAGGGGGTGGAGGGATGGGAGAAAGAAGGGGTTTGGAGGAGGAATGGAAAAGTGAGAATAGGAGAAGGCGAAGTAAAAAGCAAAATTAATATATACCTTTATCGTCTGCTTCATTAATCCCATGAAGTTGCATAGTATACCAATTTTTCGCAGCGGCAAATCCTCCATTCTCAGGTGAGAATAAAGCTTTAAAATGTGCAACATCCTAATATGAGACAAATCATCAGCATATTTAACACGAATCTCCAATTTAGGTCTCAAGATAAAACAAATAATCATTGCTCACCTCATATGTTACAAAGCCCGGATAAGGAGCCGTCATACTCCCCTCAAGCCATTTGCGGAAACCACCTGTGGCTCCCATGTACTTCTTTCCGATTTCAGGATCGAGGCTGTAAAACAAGGACATGACGGATTCGGGCTACATCGATTATCGCATTAGCAAGATATATCTCATCTTCATTCCTCAACATGCCACGGGACTAAATCAAGAAAGAAACCAGACCAAAAAAACCTACATTCGCATCCATCAACTCCGCACTCCCCTCCTCATCCATCATCAAAAAATAACCAAAAATTTCAAAGCCCGCCTTCTCCTTAATCTGCGCATTAATCCCCCTAACCGTCTCGAGATTAAACGTCGGCCCATCAGGCGCCTGATATCCCACATCCAGAAACACCAATTTGGAAAAGAGACCGGGGTAATAATTGACCAAGCGCGAGAGCATGGTACTTCCCCAATCATGACCAACGCCAATTGCGGGATGCGTTGCGGAAACGGAATGTAAGGAGAGGATCTCGTGGAGATCGGCTGCCATGTCTATCAATTTGTAAGAGTCAAGTGAGAGGGGTTTGGAAGAGCCGCCGAAACCGAGGAGGTCCGGCGCGATGATGCCGTAACCGAGACGGGGAAATTGCTGCACTTGTGGGTACCAGTCGTAAGAGGAGGAGGGAAAGCCATGCAAGAAGAGGATGTAGGGCTTGGAGGGGGAGCTGGGTTGGATGTGTGTGTAGGAGTAGGTGAAGGAGCGGGTGGTGGTGTGGGTTCGGACTGGGAAGTGTGGAGATGTCATTTTGGCGTTGGATAGGGGTTGTTAGAGGGGATGGTGTGAATTCGTTTGAAGAGGGGTGTCATGAGATATATATACAAATTTATTTTTGTATGGCAGCATGATTGCATAATAAAGCTGCATATGCCCAGGAAGTACAATATGCAGCTTACGGCGATTGTGATTGGACACGAGGTTCGTGTCATACAGAAAACCCGAGTGAACAATCATGATTCGGGTTTTGACGTTTTGACAGGGGACCGGAAGATTAGCCGTATGTATGTGTGGGGTGAAGATCTCCGAGAGAAGCGATGGATACGCCCGGATATCAGAATGTCAGCATGGTATAAATCCTTTGAGTGGATGTCAGTGAATGACTATCATGTAAAGTGTAATTAGTTATCAATACCCGTGCCGGTATATTCTTACTGTATCATACAAGCATCATGTTTCCCAATTCCCGCGAATGATTACTATGAAATATCATCAAGAGTTGGGATATATATCCCACAGTCCCATAAAATCCTGTGACCAAATGTCTTCCATCTCCATTGGCATGAAAGCTGACATAGAAGCTATTTGATTTGTTTCCGATATTGCCTGTTGTTGTTTATCCTGGAAGTTATCAATAGGATTAGAAATATTAGTATTTGGCGCATTGAATCCTGCTAGACGCTCAACCCATTGCTTAATTAGCTTCATAACCTTTTCTGAACAAGTGAAGATGCTCTCGGAATTACTACTATCTTTTCCCCATGCGACCTCGACTTCTACTTTCCTTGAATTTTGTCCCAATAGATCTAAGATTCGTCCAGGTGAACGAGTTCTCCTGACCATATCAGTATCCCAAGCCAGATCTTTTAACACCGTGAGACGGTATAAAGGAAAGAAAACGCCTCCGAATTGTTTCCATACTGGAAGAGGTAATCGTATGACATTTGAAGCTGATGAGTTGAGGAGAACGTCAAACCATGATTTGATGGAATTAAGACAGTGATGGAGACATTCTATTCGAGAAAGTGAGGAATCTATAGATATAGATTCCGAGGAGTTGGGAAGATAGACAGCGAGTTCGTAGATCATCACTTCTGCGCCGAAGATTTGAAGATTCAACGCTCCTTTGAATCTGTTAGCATAGGTTTTTGAGATTAAACTCCATACCATGAAAAATTGCATACTATTGTCAGCCAAGTGTGAGGGTATCTTATTTTGACCTCCGCCAATTGTGATATGAGAGTTTGGATATAGAGCATGATGAGAGTAGAATGTCCAGCTTAACTTGGCGTGCCATCACGGATTTGTTGTATATATGCTTCTGCTGTTTTATGGACAACGCGTTGTAGTCGGATCTGATTCACAAGAAGGTCATCGGATTGATCTTTTCTTTCTTCTACTTTTGATAGACATAAGTCAAAATAAGGACACCAGACTACGCTCTCTAATCTCTTCTGGGAGGTTGAAAGACTGAAGTCTTGAGGATTAGCCTTGATCAAATAATTATAGCATATAGAGTAGCGCTTAGACATACGTTGAGGTCAAGTAATAACAAGCTATAGCTAGACGACGATGTTCCATGGTTCGATTCACTGGTACCTCCATCATGTCGTGGTGACGAGTTTCATGTTCCACGCCCAAGATATGAGATGCTTCTACGATGGTAGGTTTGTGGAGTTCCAAATCAAGTACGAGTGTGATAATGAGATGAGTGAACAACGTCATGAATGGTGCAGTAAGTATTTGATACTGACCCCGGGAATTACAGTCAATAAATGCATTTCAAGGTTGAGACTCTATTCCAAGGATAAGGACTAACCAACCAACAAAACAAACCAAGCCTAGCAATAAGTCTAAATTCCTCTTTCCCTCGACAACAAGTTCACGTGCTGCTATTTCTCGAATTACTTTGCCAAGTGTGACTTGTCGATAAATGACCATTGATGACATTGTCATGATACATAACCAAAAGAATGGTCGTTCTTGACGTAGCTGATGGGCGGTCATGCCATTTCGAAATTGTATGAATAGAAAGTGGGGAAGATACTTTGTACAAAACAACTGAAAATATATTTCTGCTTCTTCCGTTGTTGGATCCGTACCCTCGGGTAACTGATATGGAAATTATGCAGCTGCATTTGAAGCTGGGGTAGAAGGTAAATAAGACAAACCTGGCTCAACAGGTGCGATCTCATTAGGATTTCTCACACAAGAATTTGGGGCAGTAGAATGGAATCCTAATGCACGACAATTTGAAGTTTGGACTGGGAAACTATTCAGGGCATTCTCAACCACAGGATTATTTGGTGAAATTGTCCTCAGGAGAGATACGAGCCCATCTAATCTTTGTTCAAGTCGTTCCGCAGTGACTCGTGGTTTTTGCCTCCGTTTTACCGGAGATAGAACACACTCTTTTTTGAGCCGACCACATCTGTTGAAATTAGTTTATGTGATAGATACGAGTGTTGCAATTGTAAGAAGATTACCTTTCACAGATACTATGATTACTACCAAAATTGCACTTAGTTTTGGCACGGGCACAATTGATACAAGCTCGACTGTAGGGAACTGGGCGTTCCGTTTCCGTAGGTTCGGCCATTGTGAAACTTTAGAATATTCATTCTTTTATGAATAAAAGAAGAGTAAAGGCAAATAAATCATCATGGAATCATGGTAAGAGGAAGGTTGTTGTTGATGCTACCACACGGTGCAATAAAACCTCCGCGTCCGCGGGAGTTCGGAGGTTTTTGGTTTCCGAATGTTTTAATTGAACCAATCAGCGATCGTTAGCACACAGCCCCCTGTTCGCTTCTCTGCCGTATTGCTTCATTTATTATCAATATCCGTACTTGATTCTTTGATACAGGTTAGTCATATCACATATATAACATAGTACTCGAATATAAGAGCCATCACTCTCAGCTGTGAATATTCTTTTCTATCTCAAAACTCTTTTCATATTTAAGTTTTATACAAAAGCATACGATCAAGAGCAACAGCATATGGAAATGCCCTCATCGTTTTTAGAAGTCCTTTAGTCAGATAGCCTCTGGTGCTTTCAGAATCCGGAGCAATATCCAGCAATACGCGTGTCGATGTGAGAGTATCTAAAGTAAGCTTCTCCTCTACCACTGAAATCATTCAACATATATCTTCATATCCAACAATTCCCCACATAATCGAGAAAGCCTCCCTCTATACTAACACCAAGTTGTCCTATTATCTATTTTATAATCATCGATCAATTAGAAAGTCAAACAAAGATTTTTAATCCCCAGATTACCCGCTTCCCCTTGACCATATCCGGGCTCGGTATACATAATTACACAGAGACCGGAACCTATCCGGAAAACACAAAATGAGAAAACAAATCCGGAAGAACTAATACACAAGCCGCGAGCCAAGGAGTCTCAAAAGTATCTAGATTCTAGAGAGTTAGATACTCTCGGGTCTTTCCTTGGTGAAATACGATTCCGGGGTATATTTACCCCTCACTAAACCCCCACGACGAACTCCGCTTTCCTTATTATTTCTCCGTTGTAGATTCTGCGTCTTGTTTTGATATGTATCTCATATGTACTCGAGTATACCATACTACTATCGTTTCTATTCTATAATCGGCCTCTAGTCTAGTACAACAGTATACCATTAACCCTCAACTCAAAAGCTGCACTCACCACCCACCCCAACCATGACATCTCCCCTTCCCTCTCTCTCCCTCTTCCCCACGGGTCCCCGCGGCAACGCATGGCACCTCTACGGCACCACCGATGAACTCGGCTGTCTCGACCGACTCACACCCACCAACACCATAGCCCGCAGCCCTCGAAATCCAACACGGAATTCGCATTTCCACCGACTGGGCTTTGAATAAACCACCTGTGCCTTGTTTTGGACGGGTAGCGTTCGAATCGAGGATTATTCACAGGAGTCCTAGGGCTGTTAATGATGATGTGTTAGTTTTGAATACGCAGAGTAGTAGTCAGTGGGATGGGTTTAGACATTTTGGTATCTGGATTTGCTTGGGTGTTTATTTGTTTGTGTGTGTGTTTATTTGTGGGTGAGTAGAGTAGAGGGGTGAGGAGGAGATATGGGAAGGAAGGGGGGAAAGTGATTAAGTGATCTAATAAAATTTTGTTTTGTGAGGATAGGATATCAAGATCATAAAATCTACTTCAATGGTTGCAGTCAAGAAAAAATCCACAGTTTAACTGGAAACGGAATAGACGGTACGTACATCATTTCCTATGTCATTTCTCATCCCCCTTTTCCCTTCCCACCTCTCATCCCACCTCTCATTCCCCTCTCCCCTCTCCCCTCTCCCCTTCTCCCACTCTCTCCCACTAACATCCCCCCAGTCTGGGTACAAAACGGCGGCATAATAGGCCGAGGTATCCTCCTCGACTACGCCCACTGTGCCTCATCCCAAAACCTTCTTCTTTCCCCCCTAACAACAACCAAAATAACCCTCTCCGACCTCAAAGCGGTAGCCGAATCCCAAAATATCACCTTTCGCCCTGGTGATATCCTGTTTATACGTACTGAGTATATTCGCGCTTGTGAGTTTAGGTTTATGTTTATTGTGTTTTGATACATACTTTGATACTTGAGTTGAGAATCTTGGTATGCTTTCTATCTTTGCGTTGTTTTTCTGTGTTCCCTCGAGGCTTACCTCGGTATATCGTATATAACAAACCCATGATCCCTATTATCATTATCATTCTCATTCTATTCCATCCCATTCCATCCCATTCCATCTCATTATCCAATCCCCAACCCCAACCCTCCTCACAGCCCCCAATCACTAACCCACCACTCACAACTTACCACTTACCACTTACCAATTACACCCACCACTTACCACTAACTCCTCTCCCCAAATGTGCGCCATCGGCCTCGAAGCATGTCCCGAAGTCCTTGAATGGCTATTATTCATTATTTCTCTGGGTCACATTCACATTCACATTCTCCTTCTATACTCGTTGCCCTTGTTCTTGATTCAAATATGTATCCTTCCTCCCCTGTCCTACAAACCTTCTTATGATCTCATAACCATTCATCTCCTTCCTTTCTCCCGTTTTTCTCTCCCATCCCACAAACCCTCTCATACTCTCATAACCTCCTACACCCCCTCCCCAAAAACAAAATCCCCAATACCCAGCACTAACACCCCCATAGTTTCGAATCCCTCCCCTTCTCCTCCTCCTCATCCTCATCCTCATCCTCATCCTCATCCTCATCCTCCACCCCCCAACCCCTCCCTCAAAACCCTCAAAATTCTCAAAACCCTCCAAACCCGCACCTCCTCCACGAATAGCTACTCGCCGGCCGGGGCATGCCTATTTTCGAACTGATAACTATTCAATTTAAAGCACTTAAGTAGCGAGTGCAAACGATTAAAGAAGTGGACTTCTTTTTTCCAACAGTGTGCCTTTGAAGGTATGTTTCTACTCAGTATACTCGAGTATTCTTGTTTTTTGTTTTTGTTTTTGTTATTGTATGGGCATGTGATGTGATGTGATGTGATGTGATGTGATGTGTTTGAGGGGGTGGGGATGGGCAGGGGGGGGGATGTGAAAGGAGAGTTGAGTACCTAGGTGTTGATACAATTGTTACAAACAAACACCAGGTACCAGGAGGCGTAGCAAGTCTACCGAATGGTGTTGCAATATTGTGATGTTGATGTGATGTCACTGCAAAGATCACAATATCACTGCAAAGCAAAGCAAAGCAAAGGTCTCAACATCATCTAGTATACTCAAGTATGCTCGAGTATTTATATGATACATGCTATACTTGAGTACTCGAGTACAAGTACTGTACGTACTCGAATAAACTAGTATCTGTATTTCTCTGTGAGGGACAACAATGTAATCTTATGTCAATATAATATATACTTTCTAAACCATTACATATGCAATATGCATTATACAGTGCGCTAATCATCTACCCATCTCTATTAAAAATTCACCTCTAAATGAATGACACCAGCCCAATATAGAAGTTCAAAATTATTTTACATCGAAGAAAGATGTATTTGCTCAGTTCCAAACCTTGCCTCCAAAGCATCCCGTACTTCAAATTCCTCAAGTGCAGCCCCGAAACTATTCTCATTAGCTCACTCACGGCCTTGTGCAAAAAGAGAGAGAAGCACACATACCCAAAACACCTAACTTTTGGCAACAATTCCTCACGCATACTCGTGAAATCGACCTCCTTTAACTCCGAGAATCGTGGATGACCCATCACCATGCCCCAAGCCATAACTGGCGTGATCTCCCCATTCAAATCTAACCTCTTGCTCAAATCTAGTAGATTTGCTAGATCGCCTTTACTCAAGTCCCACGTCTTTTGTTTGGGAGGTCCCCCATCCGTTCCATCCATTTCTTGGGAATGACTGAGTGGCATACAGTGCCCAAAGGGAATATCTGGATGCGAATCCATATCCGACTCTGGCGGACAACTAGCCATCAAGGCATGGCCCGAAAAAAACTCACCATCAACGTTGCTCGATCGTTCGACTAGGAATTGCATATGTTCCATGCAGGGTTTCTCGAGTCTGATCTCAGAATGGACCCGTTAGCTATTGTGGCGGAGGCGAGAAGTACGCTCTGGAGAAATCTTGGCCATACGTTAAAACAAAGTCAATACCTGCTTGATAATAATCCACACCTTGAACTTGTTGTGACGCCATGCTGCGGCCACTCCCGTTGTAACCTCCTGTCGCTCCTCGAGCTTGAGGTGATCCACTATCGTAATGCGTACTGCTTGGGTTGGAGTTCGATGAGTGACTGAGAGATGGAGGACTAAATGTTGATGAACCTGCTGCATAACTGCCGGCCTGACTATCACTCGATTTATATCCAAAACTCGGATTATTGGTAAATTCATCAACTCCTCCATTGCCAGTCCACGGTATACCATGTTGTGCGAGAAGTTCCTTTAATTGTCGATTTTCTTCGGCGAGGGATTGTTTGCTTTGGGTAACGTTGCTGAAATTATCCTTCAGTCGTAATACTTCTTGCTCCAAGGCTTTGATGTATAACTCTTTGCGCTCTCGGTGGGTTCTAGGCGATACCAGTTAGTTTTGGACTCCCATGGTTCGTACTCACATACCTCTGAGCTTGTCTATTCAATTCTTGTCTTCTGGTCAAAGCAGGTTTACTATCGGGCTTTGGACCTCTTCTTTTCGGTATCTGCCCATCAACTGTTCTAAAATTTAGTCCTGGTTTGATGGTATCGTCATCTATCTTCATAATCATACCCCGCGTAGACTTCTTCTCTGTGAGGGTCTTAAGGAAACCCAAACTCATTGAAAGAGGAGATTTTCCTCCCTCCGATTGCCCACTGGCATAATCACCTCTGTCTGATTTACTGTTATAATCGGAATTGTCGGGAGATACGGAAGTCATAGTGGCGTAATGTAATTGAAATTCAAGAAGAACTATAGGATAGACAAAGATGTATATCTTATCAGCGTTTGTCGTAGATTTGGGGATGTACGCGAAGAAGCGATGAAGGGGTGGAGTTCGTCGAACGTTGGTAATACTGTACTGCAGATTGATCAAGAGCGTGACATACCGAACAATGATGCTATGGATAAGAATTGATTGAACCAACAGTTTCAATCTTGATTCCCTGTTAAATATAAAGTTAATTCGTGGGGCAATGGAGATTTAGAAGCCGGGTATTCAATGATTGACCTGATCGGCGAGCAGTACAAGATTGTGTTTCTCCGTTGATTATATATAGAGAGAGACTCGGGCAAGATGATTGATTTTCTTTCTCTTTCTCTTTCAATATTAGATAATTCAGCAACTATGAGTTACAGTACCGGTATTGACCTAAAGACAATGTACGAATACGCAAACGGGCAACGACTGCACTGTCTTGAGACTTGGGGAGGGAGGGGTTATGCTGGGAACAGTCGCTTATTATAGTCCACTTTTAGCAGTTGGACAGTGCTGAAGGGCCCTGGACAAAATATCCATTACGCATTTGTGACTTCTTGATTTATAAGTACCGGTATTAATTATAATGTGTGATTGGACACTCACTACCTTTCTCTATTACTTAGAAAAGGGTTGAATTCAGCTGCAAGATATAAGATATCCTCATCAATATTTGGTCATACAGATCGTCCAATATAATACTGGCAGTCTGACAGGGCTGAAATACCAAGAAGGGGTCGTAATTGATATGAAGAGAGTACCGGTATATCAAGTCGTAAGGTTACACAGTATTCTTCAACCTTTCTACAGTAAGTACTCAGTATTGGTCAGGCAATTAGTCTTTCTATTGCCACTTCGACATTGAGAACTATCAACTACCTAGGTGAGCTAAGCTCAACTTAATACCATGTAATTGGTCTAGCTTCCCCTTTCTAGTCACAATTTGTTCATCTAATAGGTTCATTCTAACAACCTCTGATTTTTGATAGATAATATCAGATATTGTATTGTATTAACATAGCCATGTGCGAGTATCTATCTCCGGTCAAGAATCCGAAGATATCTACATTATTCATGAACTACCGATCTCCCCTCCTTTCAAACCTTAATTTTCTATGGAGGATCGTCGCTGGTGGATTGCGTATTGATATCGAAATCACAAATTCCCTTTTGTCTATGAAGATTTCCATCGGCTCCAGGCGAGTCAGATCTCCACTTCATCTATCATCATCAATGCAAGATTGGATTGTGCACACCAGATTTGTGCGACGCTTGGTTACTTCAGATGCCCGTGTGGTGAGATCCATATTTCCATGAGTAAGCAGTGCAGGCAGGTAGGGAATAGAGGGTTTTGAATTTCTCTTGTGATGTGTTTGTTGACCGCCCCTCATTTTTTTGTGTGATAAAATCTCAAGATCAAGAATACCACAATGGGTCTCGGCGCCATATATACGCATATTCGTGGGTTCGTTGTTGTATTACCATGGGCCCTTGAATTGGTCCTCATGGACCTCGTAATCTCTGCCCTCTTACCCGTCAGCTATTTTTTCCCTAATTTGGTGTACCATGCATCGTCGTTCGTTGCTTTTACAAATTGGAGCTGGATACAAGTCATTTTTGAAGTATTCAATGGAGGCAGGATTACTATCTCTGGCGATATTCTTCCGGAAGGTGAAACTGCTATTGTCATTTCAAATCATGTCAGTTGGACAGACTTCTATATGATTCAAGCACTTGCTATCAGAGCTGGCATGCTTGGAAGGTGTAGATGGTTCGCCAAGATCGAACTGCGATGGATTCCACTTCTTGGATGGGGAATTTGGGGAATGGGTATGCCAATGGTTAGTCGAAATTGGCTCAAGGATAAGAAAGAGTTGGATCGAGTTTTTGCAGGAGTCGTGGTGAAGAAATGGCCACAATGTAAGATATGCAGCATATTAACCCCACTTGAGAATATTCTGGCAATGCTAACCCTTCTATCACATAGGGCTTATAAGCTTTAGTGAAGCAACACGATATACCCCCGAGAAATATGAAGAAACAAAAACATGGTGCAAAGAAAATAATCGACCTCTCCCAAAACACCTTCTATACCCACGAAGTAAAGGCTTCGTTACAACGGTGCAACATCTACGAAAGGCCAATCATGTCAAAGCCGTTTACGACATGACGATCGCCTACGCGCATCATAATAAATGGCACGAAGCGCCATCGATTTGGGAATCCCTCAGTTGTGGAGACTTGAGTGGGAAACGAGGATATAAATTTCATGTTGAAGTCAAGCGATTTCTATTAGAAGACCTACCAGAAAGTGATGCAGATTTGGCGAAATGGTTGGAAACTAGATGGATAGAAAAGGGGGAATACTTGGAGGAGAAGAGGGAAGAGTGGTCAAGAATTGGTGAAAATCATAAATCTATCGCGGCATAGTTGTCGCGGGACCTAAATTCCTTGATATTTAGACGAGCTAGACTACTAACCTTAGCGCCTCTTCTACTTGTACATTTTCGTCGTATTAGAATTTACTTCTGGATAGAAAATTTCTCATACTATTTTTGCATGCGATACTGTTGTAAATAGATTGATCTGGGGAACAAAGGAATTTTCTCTTCGTTCCTTTGTTCTTGAACCATAAAACTTCGAGAACATTTGCACCATCCCCCGCACGCAAAATTATTCTCCGAAGACAAAGAAATCTAAATCTAAAATGTTTTCGCAAGAAGTTCCATTCCATCTATCCTCTAAGCATTCAGGAGTACTAATGCTTATTGTGTACCGAACTCGGTCTAAATATTTCTAAACAAAGATATCATGGGCCGTTCTCAATTTTGAAGACAAATTTCTATAGATGACAAGGAGTTACAGATGTCTTTCCTCCTTTCCATTTCCATCTATTCCTTCATCGCAATCTTTACAACAATCCCAGTCTTCGTTGATCACAACCTTAAACAGCATACCAAGATACCAAGACCAGATTGAGTCATTATATTCCCAATTACCCAACCACCCAAAGATAGCCCCATACGAATAGACAGAGAAGTAGAAGATAAAATGCCAACAGGCGCCCTCTCAATCTCCATTCACGATACTCCCACTACTCCCTCAACCACTACGAAACACTCCGCTACCCGCCCAACTTTCTTTCCAACAGTGGCTTGGTGGAAACGCTTCCCGAGACCTTCGTTTCCGAATTATTATTATTCTTCCTCAAATGCCCATATCCATGCGTATAGGAATGATACGCATGATTAAAGTGGGAGGAGGTGTATGGAAGAGGGATTGTTGAGTGAAGAAGAAAGAGAAAGAGATGATTCTGATGGAGTAATGCCGGGAGTGCGGATGGGGATGGGGATGGGGATGCGGGAGGCAGGCTCGAGTTATTGGAAGAGGATTGGTGTGGAGGGGCAGAGGAGGGGGAGGTCAAGGTTGCTGGTGGAGGTTTTGGGGGGTGTTGGGGTGCTGGTGGCGGTGGTGGGATTGGTGAGGTTGCTGTTTGGTTAGTGTACCGGTGGTGGGTGGGAATGGGGAATGGGGAATTGGGAATGGGGAATGGGGAATGTGGGAGGTGGGAAGTGATTAAGGGATGGATGTAAATAGGAGGATGGTGTGAATTCGAAATCGATACTTCATGAGGTGGATGGTGGTGGATGATGGATGGTGTCATGGCATGAATTGAGGTGCATGATCGGTATTGAAAAGGGGGATGGGGATGGGGATGGGGATCATAAAGAGATTGGTATGAGAAGAGATGAGATGAAATGAGATGAGCCATGGAGGAAGGACTCGTGTGTATAGGATAGGATAGGATGAGGGAGAATGGAATTTGGCAATGCATACTCGAGTATATATAAGCAAGAGGAGAGCTGAGGTTATGTACGGAATTAGACTAGATTTTTTTGTATATGATATAGTTCTCAATATATACAATTTTCACACAGTACATTACAGTACCAATGGAGTATTGGAGCAATGGAGAAGTTATACGATATATCCAGAACTAAACATCTGCAACTGGTATATCTGCAAATACTCGAGTACTAATGGATAGGGTGTGGGTGTGGGTGTGGAGGTGAGTGGTGTGAGTAGATAAAAATTCGGAGTGGCTGTAACCTACTAGTAAATGAGATTTCACCGGGCTGGTATATCTTCCACTTCTCAGAACGCATCAACATCAATTTTATGTTTTCATGTTGGAATTGTTGGTTTTTTATGGTTAATTTGTTAGATTGTTAATTTGTTGGATTGTTAGCTTGTTGTTCGGTGATATACGATGATATACGATGATATATATACTAGGTAGAGTCTTCAGGGGATGGATTGCTATGCTAGATTTCGATTTATTTTACACACAATATTCAGAACGAGGAAATTTGGAGGTCGGTATGATGGTACTCATTGATGGCTATGATATGGCTATTGGCTATCTATGATCATGGATTGATTGCCTGACGATAGATGGATGGTATGGTGGATAGTATGATGGATATCGGAAAGGTTCGAGAGGTTTATTCGAGTATTATGTTAAATCATTAATATGCGTGGACAACCGCGAGGGCGAGGAGATATCAAGTCATTCAAGAGAATTCGAATCGTACTTTGATATCGACCCAGGAGGCAACTTCATCACTAAATAATAATCCCCCACGCATAAGGTTACCTTTAATCTTGGAAGTTGACCTTACGAAGCCAACATCAAACAAATAAGCCAAAATAGGTCATTTTCTTGGCCTCTCAGTCAAAAGATCTTGCTTGTGTAACCTAACTGGCGAGTGCGAGTGTTGGGGGTCCGCGGCCAGTTCATTGACCTCCAACTCAAAGTTTGTATTTTCTATGGAATTCCCGTTGGATACCCGCGTTTGTGCGTTATCTGTTTCCGGAAAACGCTACTATTCTGAAGGATTATATCGGCAGTTTATACAGATGCTCAAGTTGTTTTGTAAGCAATCAAGATCAAGTGAACTTGATAGAAACTGGGCATCAAATTCAATACCCAACAGAATGTGGAAGTCAATCAATCCATCAGAGCAATCCACATATCAGTCAGGTATCCCACCAACCCTACGACCTCTTTTTGCCGTGACTTCCGTTCCCACTGCGTTTACCGCGCCAAATTTCTCCCCAATGGTCTATTATGATTTTTCCCTACGAGCAAGAGAGGTTCGATTGTTGTCCAGGCTGAAGTTTATGTCTAAAATCTACTTCAGCCGCTTCCTACCGCGCTTGTGGTCTCCTTTTCGGTTACCGAGTGACCGAGTATCTCCCCTCTTCGAGGTCGATGCACCTTTTCGCAAAAGTTGTACTCAGGTCTTTGGCTGCTATGCTTGAATTGGGGTGAGAATTTTGAAGCGGGTGTTGAAATGGGCTTGTTGCGTACTTGTTGTAAAGCGGGTAAAGTTGAGCATGTTTATAAGCTTAAGCTAGCGGATCCGAAAGTAATATTACAACAATCACTCGAACTTACTTATCCCATTCTTCAGAAGAAACCGATCGCATTTCTTAAGCTTCAAATTTGTGCTCACAGTTATAAGCTTCCTCGATTACCTGAGCAGCACTCACAACGTTAGCGCGTAAATTGATGTGTAGTTTCCTATATAGACGCTGCAAATTGAAAACATGAAGTCCTTCGATCCAGGTTCTTTCTCTTTCACCTCTTCTTTAAACTTTTCATCATCTATCTCCAATCCTTCATCTAATATCTCTAATCACCAAACTCTGAATACAAACACAAGCACACCATCCAATGAAAATAACCCCAACAACAATACCGATAACCTCCCCCCAACTCCTCCAAACATCTCAATTATCTCCGAGGGACAACACCCTCTCCCACCTCCCAAAACACCAACACCAACAACAACAACCACCACCACCACCACCACAAACCCAATCCACCGTCTCCCAACCAAAAACCCAAAATCAACAGCAGCAAAAATCACAAATACATCAATAACAATAAAAGGTCTAACAACAACTCGGCGAACTAAAATTATTAAAACATATGTTTCGGCAAAAGGTAATACGAAAATCGTGATGATGGTAACTATTACTACGGTGAGCAAACCGGTTTTTGTTTTGGTTGGGGAGAAGGGTAGGTGGGTGATGAGGGGTGTGACGGTGGTGAGGAGGGTGGGGGTTAGGAGTAGGAGGGGGAGGGGGAGAGGGAGGGGGAAAGATAGGGGTGGGTTTGAGAAAAAGAAGGATGGGAATGCTGGGAGTGGGATGGGTAGGAGGAGGGGAAACAAAGGGGAGAGAAAAGGGGATAGGGGTTAAACCTTGAAGAGGGGAGGGGAAAGGGTTACTGTAGATTCTGCTTGTTGATATACTTTTAGCTTTCTGAACTCCGTGGACTTGATAAGATGGAAATGGCATATGCTAGAATACATGGCTGTTCGCAGTACTCGCATATGTAGTATAAGTTTGACTTGCATTGGCTGGATATACTGGTAGCATAGCAAAACATAGCAAAGAAAAGCATAACAGGGAATCTACATATGTATGGGTATACAAAGAACTGGAGTCTAGTAGCATTACTCGAATAGGAAGATTGCTGACCTCAAAGCTCAACCCTTGACCCTGGACCCTCAAAATAAATGACATTGCTTATAAGCTATGAGATAAGAAAACACAATAAACATTCAAATGAATGACCTTTCCCTTCTTATTTTCCGATCTTCTTTCTCCCATACCCATACCCACCTCCATAACCCGGCGAATCCCCATCCCCATCCTCATTAATCCACTCAATAACCAATTTAACCTCCTTACAATCCACAGGTAATACCTGACTTCCATTAATATAAGCGCGCACGAGTGCGCCTTCGGGAAATACATCGTTCTCGGTTTTGGTTTGGGTTTGAGTTTGACTTTCGATACAGAAACGTGCTTGGTTGCCTTGAGTTTGGGTTAGTATTGTTGTGTATGTAAAATTTCCCCATCAATAGTTTCGTATCAAGAAGAGCGAAAAAGAAACCAAGAGATAGAGAAGGAAAAAAACGCACCACTACCAATAAACTCCCCATTAACCAAATTCAACAAACTCCCATACGGATACTGACTCGTACTATCAATAACAACACTCCCATTTAAATCCATACTCCCCATATTTTCAAACAAGTTTTCGCTCGAGAAAGGGGTGTAGCCGCGTGAGAGGGCGGGGGCTAGTAGAGCTCCGAAGTAGGTTGATGTTGATGTCGATTTCGATGTCGATATTTGGCTTTGTGGGGACGAAGAAGAAGAAGAAGAAGAAGAACAAGATAATAACCCCCCAGGCTCAGAAATAACAAAGACACAAGCGGAGGAGCGATCATGAACAGTGTGCCCAGAAGAAGATAGGTAGGGGGAAGGTGGGGAGAGCCCGAAGTATACGCGTAAGATGTAGGTTAGGAGGGTGTAGTGGGTGGGGAGGAGGGTGAGGTGGAAGGGGGGGGAGGTGGATGAGGAGGAGGAGGATGGGAGTTGGAGAGGAGCAGTAGAGGGTGGAGAAGGTGGTGTGGATGAGGACGCGGCTGGTGGGGGTCCATAGCCATAGCCGTAGTATCCTGGGGGAGGCGGTGGGGGCGGGAGTGGGGAATTACTTGTATTACTTGTACTGCTTGTACTGGAGGGTGAAGAGGGGTCGGTTCCTGATGGAGTTTCGGATGGATTGTTTGAGCTGCCGGAGGTTGTTGGTGAAGAAGACGGGTCACTGGATGTAGATGGTGAGGGAGGGTCACCTCCAGATGCAGATGGTGAAGGGGGATCTCCTCCAATTGTGGTTGGTGAAGAAGGGTCACCTCCAGTTATACTTGGCGAAGCGGGGTCACCTCCAGATGTAGATGGTGAGGGAGGGTCATCTCCAGTTGTACTTGGTGAAGAAGGGTCACCTCCAGATGCAGATGGTGAAGGGGAATCTCCTCCAATTGTGGTTGGTGAGGAAGGGTCACCTCCAGTTATACTTGGCAAAGAAGGGTCACCCCCAGTTGTAATTGGCGTACTTGGCGAAGGGTCACTTCCAGATATAGATGGTGAAGGGGGGTCTCCTCCAGTTATACTTGGCGAAGGGTCCCCTCCAAGGCTCGTTGGCAAGGAAGAGTCACCTCCAGTAATACTTGGCGAAGACGGATCGCCCCCAAGGGTCGTTGGCGAAGAAGGGTCTCCTCCAGTAATACTTGGCAAAGATGGACCTCCTCCAGTAACACTCGGCAAAGGGTCTCCTCCAGTTATACTCGGCGAAGAAGGATCTCCCCCAGTAGTACTCGGCAAAGGCGCCACCCCTCCCGACGCACTAATCGTACTAGAAGTACTAGAAGACCCAACCAAAAAACTCGAAGAAGCCGGTCCAGTAACCGACGAAGAAACCGAAATTACACCTGACGACAAAATACTTGGATCATTCCCAGTAGGTGTACCCGTAGGTGGACCTGTAGGTGTACCCGAAGAATAATATCCACCATATCCATATCCATAACTTGGACCGGCGGGATCACCATCTGTACCTCCTGAAGGAGTAATCGAAGCACCTGATGGATCTCCAGGATACGTGCTGGAAGCTGCTGCAGAGGGACCTGCGTCGATGTTGGTTTGGGTTAGTAATCCTGGATCGGTTGGATCAGCGGGGATGCTAGAGCCAACTCCAGATAAACCAGAGCTCGGAATCACCAGCGTCGTTAACGTTAACGTCCCAAAACTTCCAGTTCCAGAAGGATCAGCACTACCCGGGTCAACAGGCGCACTAGTCACAGCCGCCACTTGATCCCCAGCACCCGAGCTCGTCACAGCTGCAGGGGGATCAATCGGATTCGACCCCGACCCCGACGGATATCCATAATATGGAGGGTCATCCCCATAACCACCATACCCCGTAGGAAAACTCCCACCTGGATTTGTTGAAGACGACGCATCTCCCGGATCAGCTGGATCCGCTGAACTTGAACTTGAACTTGAACCTGTAGGTAGTGCTGAAGAATCAGGAATTGGAGCTCCGCATGCGGGTATAGCTGTTGATGTAGCTGTAGCTGTAGATACTGGTATACCCGATGGATTACCCGTAAGACTTATCTGCGTAGGTCCATTAGCCGTTACGGAACCAGTAACAGAAGATGAAGGTAAAGTAGAGCCTGAACCGGCTGGGATTAAAAGTGCAGTGCAGTTATCTGTTTGTTGTCTTTCGATATCTATGCCAATGTCAGTCCTCACTTCCTATCATTTGAAAAATAAAAATAAAAATAAAAATAACAAAGTGTAACAGAAATGCAAAAACGAACCAACAGCAATCAAACCTCCATCAACCCCACAACTCGTAATAACACAATTGGCAGTAGCATCTTGAATAATACCAGCATTCTGCGAAGTACATTGACAAGGAAGATCGGTCGATGCACAGGAGGTCAGTCCAATGGCGTTTTGAATACAACCTACTGCACAAGCTGGGATAACGAAAGTGGAATTTGGAGAAGTGTCTGGTATTGATGAGGGAGCTGCTGATGGGATTATCGATACCACTGTTGATGTTGATGAAGATGTCGTGGACCCGCTGGCTGCATTGGCGAGAACCGATGAACATTCCGCTGTGGCGTCATCGAGAACCTCTATATGAGACACATATATTAACATATATTAACATACGCACCTCACCATAAATACTCCCTCCCTCCACCCAAAAAAAACAAACACAGAAAACCAAAAAAAAACAATACTAACGCAACGCCTCCGTAATCCCACACCCACTCAAAATACAACTCGTAGCCTCTCCCTGAATCAGATCCACATTATCCGGATCACACTGACAGACTAAATCCGTGAGTGTACAATTGGTTTCGGAAGTGATAGCCGCTTCAATACATGGAATTGCACATGATGGGAGTGCTGGTGCTGCTGCTACGGAGCTGGGGCTGGAGCGAATGAGTAGTGGTAGTAGTAGTGGTGCTGGAATTAGAGAAGGGATTGGAATTGGAATTGGAATTCTAGATGATGGTAAGAATGTAATGTTAGCAAGTGTTATTTGTGATATACGAGTAGTGAATCGAGCGTAGTTAGATGGGTGAACTTGAACTGGAACTGGAATTTGGACTTACAGTGCAGAATTGACGCAGATGAGAAAAAAAAGAAATGTAAAGAGTGACTGAACCATCTTGGCTTGTGGCAAGCTAGAAATGGTTGATGAAGAGATGAAGATCAAATAAAGGAGAGGAGAGGGTTTCTCTTGCTACCTACAAGTTCAGCGACATGGACATATATACACTTACTCGCATCACTCACACTCACACTCACACTCACACTCACACTCACACTCACACCCATACATATACACATACACATACACATGTATCAAATGCAATATTGATGCTAACTCTCATCCTAACAAAAGTTAAGAGCCAGAAGCAACCCAAGCACCAAATCTCCCCAAAAACACTTTAACGACGTGTGATCTCTCATAACAGAAACAATGCAACCTCATCCGAACTCACCACGACGAGTAGTATAACCATAACATGAAATAAATACATAAATGAAATTAAACCCTCTCCACCGTACATAGTTCCAGACCAGCAGATCTACGATACCGGATAGAATCACCTCCGAAACCATCCTGATTGGTTCCCGCCACCATCTTGTGAATCCAGAATATCACGTGGATGAACTCCGATACACCGGTTCCGAACACGATGTGTGACGGAAGAAACAGGATGGGATGGGTTTCTGTCACCATGTACATGTACATGTACATGTATAGGTAGTGAGTGGGTGATACGTGGTGGCATTGATATCGATATCGATATCGAACCCAAACTTCCACGTTGGTACTCAGCAGTAACAAAATCTAATATGTCCTGCCTGTTTCAGACTCTGCTGTAGCCATGCTATACAACCGAGTCTCTAGAGTCTGCAACATAGACTCGGAATCTCTCTCCGCAATAACAGCCTGCCTCAAACTATTGAACATCGGCGACTTTATTTCTGGCCCAATCTCTCCACTCATGTTGTTACAGTAGTTCTGTTCCACTTCAACAGTTTACACCCTCGGTAACTCCACGAGTGACGATTTCTTGGATTCGAACCTACTACGTACGAGGTCTTGCAAGTTGTATTTCATGCCAAAGTTATATCTCTTGAAGCATGCAATATTGTTCTCTGGGTGCAAGTTTTTCGTAGCTCTGTTTTCGTATACAGAATTAGATCTGTCTTTTCAAACTTCTTCGATCTTCTCCGTATTGTCATTTTCAACGCGGGTCTGTTATTCCCGACGTTTATTGTATTCATTTTAAAAACGCATTGCTTTCCTCGACTTTTCTATTCGATGTTCCGTCTCTAATTGTTTCAACTTGCGTGATTGCCGAATTTGTAGGTAAATTGAAGTTCAACTGTCGTTCGTGGAGTACCTGAACAAACTTTATATTCAGCGAAAAATGCTATCCCTGGATCGTAACACCCGGAGCTGCGCTCCTAATGCTTCAAACCTAAGAGCTAATGAAGCCAGACGATTACCGGCTCTCCTCGGTTCCTCGGCCTGCTGTTGTAATCGTTGTTGTGGTTGAATAGCAGCGATTTGTTGTCTCCCTTGTAATTGAATGGCTTCGATTTGTTGTCTTAGTTATCAGTATACACTTCTGCGCAACGACAATTTTTCCATTCAGCAAGACAAATGTAACACCATTCAGCGTTACAACGACATGTCATATGAGAGCAGCCCCAAGTGAGTTCGACAAGAGCATTGCAATCATAGCATTTCTTCCACCCTTGCTTCTCTGCTAAATTAACTGTAGCTTGAAGACTCTTATCCTGCGGACATTTAATGGTTGCATGCCATGCACCTCTGCATATGGTGCAGACTCTTGTTTGACAGGATGAACAAGATGCGCGCTTCCGTCTTTGATTGATGCAGTTGGTAGGAATCCATGTTTCACAGTTTGGTTTGATACAATATATTCGGTCTCCGGGGGGCACTTTCATCTCAGAAGCTTTCAGTTGAAATTTCCGTGCCAAGTCCGCGTTGACACTTCTAACAATATCCTTATATGGTATCTCAGAACAGCACATGAAGGGCCACATCGCCTCTGTTTTCAGAGCCACACTATAACATGTATGTTAGGTAAATTACAATGCGTATCATGGAGAAAACTTACGTTACTCGCCTTTCAAAACATTCTTTGCAATATTTGTGACATCGCAAATTAACCATTTTATGCTCTTGGAAATCATCACGACAAGAAACAAATTTTCTATGTGATCAGTCAGTAAAGTTCATTTCTAACATTTCGAAGTTCATACCCACTAAGCTTCCCCGCTACAGACTTTTCCTTGTCCTTTCTTTTCCTGAGTTTGTTTCTGAACCTGGAAAAGATGGAAAGTTTGGGCTTTTCCTGTTGGGGGTATATTGAGCTTGACTTTGAGTGAGATTCTTCTGCAGCAGACATGTGTCCCGAGTTAGAGGATATATTGGTTTGTGCTGACTGTTGACTGATCATAAAGGTTTGTGTATGTTGCTCGACATTCGGAGCATCTTCATCTGTTGCGATTTCCTGTACATTTTAGTCAACATCTATAGCTTTGTAGATAACATTCTGAGAGCTACTCACTTTATTATATGATCTTGATGGTCTGAAATCCTGATGATTCGATGACATTGTGCTGAATATGAATGATCAAATGCTTCTTGGTGAAAGCTAATGATATAGATAGATGATCGAGAGTAGATCAATAGCGAAAATGACTATAAATTATCCGGAAGAAAAAAAAGCAAGAACACAACACAGTAGATACTTATAGACAGTGATAATTTCCCTCGTCACTGCACTAAGCTGCTTCCGGGATGAAATAAACCGTTGAAAACTAAGAACAAAAGCTAATGTTTTAGTGCAGTACAATAGTCCATCCATTCGAGAAGGAATCAAAACCCAATTGTAGTTATAAACTTTCTTCTCAAGAGGGTTGGCTTGGCTTATCAAAAAACTCTTATGAAAGCCTGTCATTTTGATCAGTTACATGAATATACTCTGGCGGCAGAGCCATAAGGACACTCAATTAAAACCATTGTTGGTATTCGAATCTCAGTTAATCTTCATCATCAACTTCATGACTTTGAGTTGAGGCTAGAAGGACCAGGTTGATCATTGACTAATAGTAGTGTGATTTTGGCGTAAAGTTATACCTGTTCACACACTAAAATTGCTCCAAAGTCCTTGAAAGCATCATTTGCAAACCATTTCGGTTAGTAAAAACATGGATCAGATACCAATACTCTGATAGTTCCTTTCCTATCCTATTTTAGGATGAATAACAACAATCTAGAACATACGGGTATCCGGACCTTTCAGAGGTTTTCAAAACCATGGCTAAGCAAACACCATCGATATGCGTGCCAATAGTCACTTTGCCAAAATTGGTAATTAATTATCTTCACGTGCGGAAGTATTGTGAGAAGTTGATTCATCATAGCCAATTATCGATCATGTAGGTATCCTAATCGTTGTATAGCGCTCCTTCTTGAGATCCCAAGCATATCCAAAGTCAACGCCCAAAATGATGCCTAAGTCCAAGAGATCACGGTTTCTCCATCGCCATCTTTCCAACATGCATTTGAGCCTTTCATCTTTCCTTCACTAGCCAAAAATAGTAAGAGGTATATCTCTTTAACCACCCCACCCCAACAATTAACCCTGACGCTCTTCCAATCCTCGGTACGTTCAGCCGATACACCCCATCCTGTATGACCCCCTGAGATATGTCTAAAAAGGTAAGACCAAAGATTTTGTCTGACCTGCTCCTTCAATTCTTGTGTATTAATAAGCCAATACCCCCGCTCAAAAGGGCGACAGGATCGGGTCTGTAAAGTAGGCTTGAATCTTTTCTGTAAACTTTGGTTTGAAGTGATTCTCCCCAGTGAATGTGTAATAAGACTAGCTGGTGTAAAGTCGCAAGACGAAGTTGGGGGCATCACCGATGGAATCGTGCATGTCGCCAAAGAATCAGGAGAGGGTAAACTTGACATTGGAGGCATCGAGCTTGGTATAACGGGAGCCTCAAGAGCTGTAGACGTAGGAGGCAATTGAGTTGCCGGAAAAGACGCCGAAAATGTCTCAGCTGTAGTATCAGATATCACCAACTTTACCCTCTTAGGGCTCCTGGGACTCTCGTCTATCGATGATGGAAAATCGACTCGTCGACGCTTGCTGTTCGCATTTTGAGGTAACGAACAAGATGTTTCCGGTATTTCTGGTAAACTAGATATCGGTCCACTTCTTAAAACTTTATCTGAGGTCATATCTCTATTCGAAGGTTCCATAAAATCTCCAGTTTCCACAGTTTGACTTGTACGTCGATTGGAAATATTCGCGGCCCGTCCAGAGGCCGGTATGTTATTGGAACCATCAGAAATCATCGCGTTTGGGGCATCTGTATTGGAAGTCGATATTGGAGATGAGGTAATATGCCGATACCGAGTCGTGTGAAGTCGGCGAGGAGGAGAGTCCGCCTGAGAACGCCTGGGTGATAGCGAAGACACAATATCCGAGTTGTTATGAGCCTCCTCATTCTGGGAACTAGAAAATGGTATGGCTTGGGGTACCTCAAGGTTCAAGCTACTCTCATCCGTGAACGGCGATTTCCTACCCTTTTCAGGAGAATCCTGTGTGCTTTCCCCCTGCTGCAGCAATGCCTCCAAAATCCGTGTTGGAGATGAATATTGAGGAAGGATCCTATTATTATCAGGCATGGAGTCTTCGATTACACTGAACGGTTGTCTGCTAGCTGACAATGAATCTTCGATTATACTAGACGATTGTCTCCTAGCAGGTGAATCCATAAATTGACTCTGTCGCGACATTTCCTCTCCAGACAGTATTCCCAAACCCCCTATAGTTCTACTCCGAGTTCGAAACATAGGAGAATTTCGATTATCGAGAACACTTCGAAAGGAGAGCTGAGGTGAATACATCAAGTCGGATAATTCCTCATCAGTGATTTCATTCTGATGCGCCCCCGGATTCGTCTCTGGATCTTGGGTAGGTGGGCAATATGATGCATTTTCGTCGTATTCCTCTGTCGAATGCTGCAGTTCCTCTTGAGTCCCATCCTTGAATATTCTATCCTTGAATCCTTCTCCAATCACTGTCTTGGCTTCAGGATCGTCTTGTAATTGTGTATGTGTCGCAGGCTTAAAATCTAAATAGGCTCTTACGAATGCTCGGTATCGTGCATCATCTTGGCCTCGACTTGGTGCTGATGTATGAACTAAGATCTCGACGTTTTCTTTTGTTGTATGGGTCATGATTATTGAAGTTTTGAATCTTGTTCATTTTCTTGATGTTGAGGATATAGATAGTAGGTATGAGAAGAATAAGATTGTATTCGAATTTTGAAGCTGTTGATGTTTAAGGTGCGGTAGACATTTCGATCAGGCTGTAACTGAGACTGTTACTGAGGCTGTTAGACAGCTACAGTAACCTTAAAGGTCATCCGAGAACACAACAACACCCGAAAAACATTCTCCTACAACCTGTATATTATCTACAACTTCAAATAAAAACCACAAATAATTCGATTATTCCTTCCACCATATATGAACATTACCATATCATTAATAATCTCTTATAAAGTATATACTAGGATTATTCACTATACTCTGGGTATTCTATAGTTACAAATTAATGATTCTACTCGAGTAGTTAGTACTATGAACAAATCAATATTGACTACAATATTACCATCAAATCAAACAATCGTATTGATATCATACTCAGTATATATCATATATGACCTTAAAGTTCATATATATCAATATACAGATAAATCTACCAAAAAAAAAGCATATAGCGCTTTACTATTTCTACTTCTAGTTCTAGTAGAAAATCCCCAGCGGTTCACTTCATCCTCATCATATCCTCATCCTCATCTTCATCATTACTCTTATATACATTACTTTCATACTGAGTAGTTACTCTCATATCATAGCCAATAACCAATATATATTCAGCAACAGATATCCTCTTCTCTTCTCCTACAAATCATATTCTGACCCAGCATACTTATGTGTGTTAGTTTTGGTAATATATATGGCTAATACAGAATATTTTGACAGTAGCAGGACAGCCCTTTAATCCTTCAAACAATAGTCATTTCTTGCTATTCATTCGAATCCTGGTTCCTTATATTCCTTTCCTCATATTCATTCTATTCATGACCTTCCTCTACTCACCCCATAATCCCACTCTATAATCCCACTCCACTCCACAATTCCGATTCCAACATCAATTCCAATTCCAACACCAACCCCAATTTTAGCGAGAGCTTTCCCCCCTTCCCTCCAGCCCCCTCCCTAATCCTGCACACAGTATTAAACTAGCGACTACAACTATCAAACTATAACCAAAACTAAAACTCAAGGTCCAAAAGAGGAAAATCCTGTTCTGATACTAAGTGATTAATATTATTGTTTTTGTTTTAATAAATCTTATTTAAGTTAATATTCCCTTTTTTTTTAAAGGAATATATGAATTTTTACGATATCTTATATAAGCAATTTATCTTTATTTTTTTATTATAATTGTTAGAAAGTCATAGATACTATAGGTATTATAGCACTGTCTCTCTTCTATATTCATTACTAGTATATGTCTTATTTATATATACACTTAATAATATAGTTTAAATTCTATATCTAGATATAATCTATATATATTTCTGATAGATTATAAAGTCTGTATTATCGATATCTTTATACAACTTGTAATATCAATCAACTTAACTTAAATAAAACCTTTATTTTCCCCCTCTATCCTCTTTGTTTATATATTCCTTAACTCAACTAATCAATATAATACTTTAATTATAACTAATACAAATTGGGGTATTATTATTATCTTTAACAGTAATAATTAGAATGAGTTCTATAAATCATATCTAGATACATTAGCTACATTCGCGAAAAAAAACTGCCAAGGATTTCAGATTTAGAGATTGTTAATATAATATATCAAACGACTGCCGATAAGTACCAAAATAATTTATATAAAGTACCAATGGC